GTTTAAAATGCACCTTAGAAATTTTTGTTCAGAGACTCAGAAGCAGTGCATTTTCTTGATTCATTAGTTTGCAATAGTCCTATGACAAGTTAGCATCTCCTTGTTCATCAGTAAGTTTACTGCATGTACAGAAAACAGGTTGAGATTACTAGCTGTTGAATTTCAGAAAATTCTAGAGAAGTCCAGCCTCTTCACTACAATCACTGACACTGCGGGCATAGAGATTACAGTAGGGTCAGAATTCCTTAACTACCTCTTTGAAAAGCTCCCTAGTGTGGCCACTCCTCTGTCTGATACCTCCCTGCTCTAGCACAGAAACTTCCAACAGCGAGGAAGCGGCCCTGTCCGTGGTGCTTGGTCACAACACCACACCACCAGGAAGGCTTCTCTGCTTGCAACAGCTCTGGAGCACCTGGCTGCAAAACACCAAGATGAAAAGGGCTAGAAACCAAACTGCAAACCAAATAGAGAGCAACTCAACAGAAAAAAAAAAAAAAAAGCTGAAACCAAGGACTCTCACTGTTGCCAGCAAAGACATATTAAGATAACAGTGCTTTCACCTGAGTCTTCAGAGTCATCTTCAGCATGTGTATATACATATATATATATATATGTAAAAAAATTAGTCTTGTTGAAAAGATTAAGGAGGTTTTTGTTCCAGGAGGAAAGAGTACACCCAGCGAGTTAAAGCAGGCCTCTTCCAAAGCAATGTTTAATACTTGGTATCACTCTTTGATACAGTCCACTACACAGGACCTCCAGTGACAAAGATTCTTTTTCCAGTGCACAGTGCTACACCAGGCAGCATTGCACACGTATGCAATGCTGCCCAGTGGTGGTGCACTGCATACATGTAAAGGTTGTAGCCAGGGGAGTTACTCTGTTCTAGGAGCCCTGCTTCAGACTGAAAGGCTTCCGAAAGAAGCAAACACCTTGCTTACCTAGGTTACGCAAAGCCAGGATGCCATCTGTTTGCATATTTGCCCTATTGCATACAGAAAGCACATTCACAAGCCAGAGGCTTCCTGTCCCCTCTTCAATGGGGCAATTCTGATAATTTCCTTTTAGGCCTGCACAGTAATACATCTTATCTGCCATGTGAATTATTACTACCCTTATACAATCTGAAAAGCAAATTACACATAGTAATGCCACACACTAGGAATGATTTTGGAACTATCACAAAGCTTGCCATTTTCTCTGAACTACACAAGCAACTAAATTAAACACATGTGCTACTCAAAAAAATCACAGGAAAGTCCAAACTGTGATGGAAGAACTAATGCCTACTGGAAGGAAATTACATCTGTCTAGTTGCATCTCATTTAGTTACAGCCAAGACATGTACACCACATTCTGTTGCTGAGTGCTCTACAAGCACAGCAGAGTAGAAGACTTCATCTCTTTTAGAGGTTCTGCCTGTAAAAGCAACTTTAATTTTGTGATTAAACACCAGTGGCTTCTCATATTTGAACTCATCTGAAAAGCGAGTAACTATATTCAGGAAGTCTGACCCATACCTTCCCAAAGTGTCTTTTATACCCAAAGACATAGAACTGGCTAATGCAAGACTTTACTGGTGTCTTCCTTTTCTGTGTAAAGTCCCTACATTACAAGCTGACAGCAGAAGCCATTGTAACTACTAGGCAAATATTACTTGAAATCCTACCTGCACTTAGCATCACTGTCTTTTTATGTCACAATACAATCCTTTTATGCAAAGGTTAACTGCTGATGACCTAAATGTCTTGGAGAGGTAGAAAGGCAACAAGCAGGTGAGCATTATTTGAAGATACCAGAGATATTTTGCAGCCAACACTTCATTCACATCCTTTGCAGAGGATTATTTTCATATCAAGAGAAAGTGAAGTGCAATAACTTAAATCACATACTGGCTTTAAGTTATTAAATCTGGATGGTGTCTGGATACTGTTCCAAAAATGCCTCTATAGACTATCTTGTCCATGCAGGCTGTTTACACCATTATGTGAGAGAACTCAGACTGGAAATGAGAAAACATTTGCTCTCCAAGCTTGACAGCTGTGATAAAAACACACTAAGTCAAAGGAGAAGGCTTACTGCATGCATTTTAGCCCTAGTTCTTCCAGCTGAGCAAGGGAATAATACTACCAGATTATTATGGCTGTTCTCATCTATACGATGGGGTACAAATGACTTGTTTCTCAAAGGGGACTAAAATTTTTATTTAGAAAGTAATTCCATCTTAGGTTCCAAAAAAGACATGCCTACACACTAGATCACAAACTAAAGCTAATCTTATATTAGCGATGAAACCTGACCTAACAGCACATTGCATTGTTTTGATAATTAGACCATCAGGAAGAACACATATGGAAGCATCACAGGGCTTTCATCAGAAACTATGAACTGGGCAAACATCCGTGGAAAAATATAAAATGATTCAGCTGGATTTTCCAGTCAGTTAATCAGTCCTGAAGCCAATGGAATCATTGTATAATTGAGCAGACTTCTTTAAAGAGCTCATAACTGTTTACACTGCTTTCATAACCTGCCTATGTGTCAAAAAAGCTGAAGAGAAAGTTTCAGAACTTAAGAAAAATTGTAGAAACATATTCTGAGTATCAAATAGTTTAGGAAATGTGAAAATTGATAGCAAAATTTAACATCACAGTGACAAAAAAGTCACTAGTATTTATCTTTACCACTTCAAAGTATTATAAGTCATTAGTAAGCAGCTTGACCATATTTTCATCTCAGCTTTGAAGACAGCATATGAGAATGTGGTATGCCTAAGCATTACTGCTCTCATGCAACATATTATTTATATACTATAAACGATAGTAGTAACTTCTTCATTTAGAAGTGCCTTTTGTAACTAAATACATTATGCATAGAAACCTGTTTTTGAAGAATAAAAAAGCTGAATATTGCCTGCAAAACCACAGAAGACCAATATGCTTATTATACATTTTACTGTTTCTATGATCTTTAATAACGCATATACTCTGAAAAGTGGAAGTTTACCACTGTATAAGAAGCTTAACTGGTTGCAGTAGTTATACATACTAAACATTACATGCACTAATTATTATAAAAGGATAATCCGGAAGACTACTGGAAGAGTAGGGTACAAGCACAAAAAAATGATCATTAAGGACAACAATGACATCTAGTGGACACTCGGAAAACAGACCCGTAACCCAGCACAAGGAAAGGATCCAGCTGCTGCAACTCCCAGATTGCTACAATACAATTACGATGACAAAAAAAAACCTCCAGAATTTGCAGCTGATGAAAGTCAAAGTAATGTGATTATTCATTGCTTTCAAGAGCATATTTAAGTGTAAAGGAAAAAAAAAAAGAAAGACCCTTCAAGATTTAGGATAAAAGTATAGGTCAAAACTATAGAGAACATCAGAAATCATTGAATGGATACAGATACACAGTCCCAACATAAGAGACATATAAATGCTTGCTACACTTCCTATTTATTCCCACTGCATTTACAACCTTGTGCTTATAAGTTGTTCCTGTTAGGACTTCAAACACTGAAAACCAAAGTGAAAATACAAATCCCAAGAGTAAAAACTCAAACCACCATTTAGCACCTCCCTTATCATTCCAATCCTCCCATTACAATAATGCCTTCCATATAAGAGAAGCAAATTAAACTTTCCCAATATATCAGCCAGTACCTGCTTCACTCCAGAGAAGAGAAATATGAAATATGAGGCTACTGTAACCAAAATAAGCAAAGATACCTGGGCATCTTCATGGGTAACCCGATTAGTTTACAAGGCAGACTTCTACAAAGACCATGGATTATTTGAAATCTGTTTTTACTATTTAGCAAAAGGCTAGCAAAACTAAGCAGTTAAAGTCTAATCTCATCTCAATTGCTCCATCAAAGAAACTTTTTCTGACTAGAAGTGTCACCATGAAAAAAAAATACTAGATCTGCCTATTACACTTTTATAAATAGGTTAATAAAACACTACAAATCTATGTCCCATTCAAAGTTATATGTATCAAATGTCTTATCTACATAAATGGAAATTACACTGTATTGTTAAAAACAAAAATACTGCATTTCTTTCCAAAATTTCTATGTCTTCAGTATAAAAAAAAGGCATTACAAAAAGATTAGAAACAATACTCAAAAGTAAAACAGCATTTATGAACATATCTGATTGCAGATTTCATTAGCCTTTAAATTGGTATCTTACTTGCTTCATATACGATTATGGAAAGTTAGCGTGGCAGTTCTACTAGTTCTCACCATCAGTAGTGGCTAGAGTCAGCTATTAGCAAACATATAACAGATTCTCACATGAAGATTCTCTAACCACCAGAATACAAAGAAACAGTCGTGTAATTGATGGTTAGGCCTTGTATCCCAGCTTCTTTTTGCCTGGGTCTCAAAAGTGAGCTTTGAATCAGATGCTACTTGTTAATACGAGTACATGCAGCCTCCCAAAACTTAAATCCAGACTACAAAGATACACCATTTACAATACAAATGTACCATACACATCCATAACTAAAGCCTGTAGGTTTAAATTCTGATTCCTAGTGAGACTCAATAGCTGAACAACCCATTCATAACTTTGATTCATGCCTTTTTTAATTCTAAAAAGGCAAGTATTTAAAACTAAGCCTCCCTTTTGATGTACGCAATGTATAGGGTTTGCAGATACTTAAATTGAGATCAAAGTTTAACCAATTCTAAACATCCCTGTTCTGGAAAATCACACTCTTCATTACAGTATCTATATATCAAGCCTGTTATAACCATGCTGGTAATGGAGTCTGATAGAAAACAGAAACCAGTCCAGTAAATTTACAAGGTAAAAAGCCCCTTATTAAAAAAAAAACTAAAAGCAAACATCAAAATAAACCCAGTCATTTTCACCCTCCAAGCACAATGTTGTATTTTACCTCCAAAACCAAGTTTACTACATCAGATATCCTAATATGAGGCTTATTTTAAGACAGAAAGCAAAGCATCATTGACCTACCCGGATTTCCTGGAGATTATGAAAATTATTTCCTACTCTGACAGAGATTTTGCTTGGAGTGTAACTTTCATCAGATTTGTAGTCTGCATAAATACATAAAGTCTTCACTGTTGTTTTTCTTCTGCAGGAAGCAATAGAAGCTATGTAAGCATCATTACAAAAAATATTCAAGATGAGTTTGTTGCTAGTTTGTAGTAACTAAGGACTTCTAAAACAAGTGTGTCTACTGATTTATAAGAACTCCGCTGTTAAAGCAACTACGTGTTTACCTACATTGTTATGCACCGACTGGATTCTCACTATTTTCCTTTGTCTGCCTTCAGAAGTGTTGGTATACCAAGAAATACAACAAAAGACCAAGATGCCAAATAAGCACTTGTATGCAACAATGCATAAGTTTAGCTTATCAAATATGGACTCTATTACTATATTAAAGAGTTCTCCAGAAAGCAAATAAAAAGGTGACAAATATCTAACATCATCTTCAAAGTTTGGTTAAAGAAAGACTGAAATTATCTTACAAAGAAAAGGATGGGAAAACAGTAAATTCTTAAGTAATATTAGACTATTTAAACTCAGTAATCTACCCTTGAAACTACACTCAAAGACAGAAAGCCGGGACAAAAGTGTCACCTTAGATAAGTAAAAGCGAAACCATTACAAATGACACACTATTATACATCCCTATTTGTTGCTTATTTAGGCATTTAGTAACCATTATGTTTGACAATCTAATTTTTATAAATGCTATCCATCTGGTTTCTTTAGCAGTTGGGAAACAGGTTTAACTTAGGAGTCCTTGCACGTCCAGAATTACTATCTCGGTGAACAGTAAGCAATACAGAATTATACACCCAAACCCATATAGAGTAATTTTCAATACCTAAATTGGATGTTCACCAAATGAGGCTGTGATCCATCTGATTGCCAGTAAGTTTCTAGATTATCATCTCGTAACTGATCCACTCCAAATCCTAAGAAAAAGAAAATTTAATAGTCTCCAATATCCCATTTCCACGATGCAGACATCACAGACATAATTTTTATTCACCTGTTACAAACTAAAGTATGTATTCCAAGTTGTAATGTATAAGAAACTATCTCTAGACATGAAAGTTGTGCCTATAATTTGTGACAGAAAACAGGGGAACCTGTCAATCAAAGCTCAGTCCTTGAGGGTCTTTACATTTTTATCTCCTATTGAAGTCTGCGGGGTTTGAAACTATTCAGCACACCCTGGAATTTCAAATGGTTAAGTGTTAATTCATACTAATTGCAAGAACAACATTTAATAGTTAGGCTTTTCCACCTATTCTATAATCTAACTCCTGAACTAAAGGAAACTCATAGCAGAGACCATCTACCTATTACAAAATTTTGGCCAAATATAACATTTCCTTTTCAAGTAGCCTCCTGAAATATTTTAACTTTTCAAGTTAGCAGCTAGAACAAACAATAGATGCCAAACACAGTATTTCTGAAAGTTAATGCCATCACATTTAAATAAGCTACTCCAAATCCGTACTCTTCCATTCCCTCATTATCTGTCCTTTTACTAATCACATCCTTTTATTGATTGCCCACACTTGCTGCAGTTTTAATTCAGCAGTTGGAAGTTTAATCTGCAATAAAAAAAAAATATTTTCACTCTGTAGTGGCTAAACCATATGATGTTTTTCTCCAAGTAAGATACCAGCATATCAGACTAGACATTCAGCCTGAGCGCAACATTGTGACATAAAGGCCACCACTGACTCCAGGCTGCAGAAAGATACCAGATCAATTCCCAGCAGATACTTCTAAAACAGCAACTCAACTATCTCAAATCAAAACAATACAGACTTTCAGATATTTTGAGCAGGTATAAACTCTCACTAACTGTACCTCAGGAAAATTTGCAATAGTTTGATTTCAGTTGAAGGATTTTAGGGAGCTACACTATAATGGCCAAGTCAACACAAAGTCTGGACAGAACATTTAGGTTGCCCAGCTGCATGGTTTTTCTAAGTTAAAAATACAAGATACCCAGGCAAAATGTCAACACACAGGAACAATTACATGCTGCTGATTTTCTGCTCACATGGTTTAGTCTGTTCACTTATGTGAGTAAAAATTAAAAAAAAAAAACACAAAACAATTTAGTATAATGCGGGTTAAAGATCTTTTGTTAATATGAGATTTCTTAATCATAAGATTTCTGAGAGAGTTTAAACTTTCATATTGCATCAAACATAGACTAGGTCAAAATTATTTGTAGTGACTACCCATACAGCTTATACAACAGCAGTTTTACTGCTACACTGCCTATACATGTCTTATCAAAACATAAACCTCTATGTATTCTAAGAAAAATGTACATTCAGCTTTTTACACCATTTGTTGTGGTTTTACCTGGCTTACAGGATGAGAGAGACCAAACTGCTTGTGAGCCTATTTCTCTAACAGTACCAGTCCTCTCTAACTGCTTTGGATCAGCACCAGGTGGCGTCTTGTTTGGGGTAGTCATTTCTAGTGGGGAGAGAAAAAAAAGTTGATAAATTTTTAGCTTGACAGGAAAATTATACAGTTGTTTGTTTACATAGACACTTTAACTCTTTAGCCTTGCACTTATATAGTAGTCTATGGAATATGTAGTTTATACACATACATGGAAACATTTTTGGATGCCTGTAAAACCTTTTATTTATATATATAAAATATATTATTTTTATAAATATAATCTTTAAGTAACAGGTTCCACATATATGTAAATTGTGTCCTTCAAAATTCAATACATAACTGAAAACTCATAGAACATATACTACTTGTTTCACTCTAATTCACACATACAGAGTTAGTCAGAGTTTCAGGATTTGGTTTTAAGAAATTAAAAACGACCCTTCTGATTTCAAGGCTGGCAATACAGCTTCATTTTCCCTCCACATACAAGTAAGGGTTTTCTTAATCTGCAAGTTCAGAAGCCTATTCAGAAGCTAGAGCAAGCTTGCCCTCCTGGAAATCTCCTTAAAAAATAGGAAATGAGAGCTTAAACTTATCTCATGGGTTCAAATTCTGTAGGGATTTATTATTGCCATATTTATCCATGGTGCATTTCCTTAACCTCACAACTTCATCTGGAATCATTAACCTGAGACTTGCACTGCTCAAGTAATCACATTCAGTCTCAACACCTAGACTACTGCTGTACAGTACTGCTATACAACAACATAATCATGTTGGGTTTTATATAGTACAGAACACCTTATTACTTCCTAGAAAGTAGCTTAAAAACTTTTTTCAAGAAAAAAAGTTCACATTAAAGCTTAAAATTAAACATAAAGTGCTCAAGAGTCAGGGAATTGGATATTATTTTAATCCTTTGTTTACATGCATGACATCATACTATGCCCTGCTAACCTCATCAGAAGCCTCCAGTGCCTCGCCTAGATAGCAAATGAGGGGCAGGAATTCACAGGGCCCAGACCTCATCCACAACAAAAGTGATACAAGGCAGAGACAAGGTTTTGGATGCAAGAATAACTCTGCAGCTTAAACCTTTTTGTTGTATGCAGGAAATCCAAATTCTGTAGCGTATATCACTGTCCATACCAAACACTTTCTATTGGTTCACCATCCTCCCAGAAGAGTGGGTTAACACTACACAGCTAATCCTACAGATATCACATATATATTCATATAATTCACATATATACTAATCCTAATGCCCTCCAATTAAAAAAAAAAAAAGGGGTAACGCCAATCAAGTTTCTTACTGTCTTAAACTGAGCTTGTTTCCTTCAATCTAGCAGGCAAAGCTACTCAAGATCCAAATTTCAACTCCAAACGACCACTCGCAAATAAGTCAGCCACAAAGTGTGTGTCAGTGATGTGGTAGACTGAAAATCTCAAATTTAGTTTTAACTAATGAGTTGAAGTAATCAAGTCTTGGGTGACATGGTTTAGTGCAAGGTGTCCCGGCCCATGGCAGGGGGGATGGAACTAGATGATCTTAAGGTCCATTTTAATCCTAACTATTCTATGATTCTATGAAGTCCATTTTTCACAACAGAACTTCTGTTTAACCATAATACATTCTGGATAGTTTTCTGAAGCTTCCTAAAACTCTAAGGAACAGAAAGCAGGTAGAATTACTAAGGAAAAATACTACAAGAGACCAGCTCATTCAAATAACACTTCTGAGCATTTTACTAGCAGAAGTACAAGTACTTCATTTTGGACAAGACAAATACATAACATTAAAAATAATTTAAGTCACCAAATAAAATAAAATCACAAACCAAAACATTTTCTCAGCCCAAGATGATAAAAGAATGAGTTTTTTTTATTTTCTTTTCAAGATGCGCAAAAACAAGTAATCTGTCTAGAAGCCTTCTCCTTTACATGTGCTGAAAAATGGAATGACACACTGCATCTATAGAATCATTGGCTGGAAACATCTCCAAATTCCCAATTCAATTATTCCAAAAGATCATTAATAGGCTACTGTTTCCTTATTAACAACATTTAGTATATTGATGTCTTAATGACATGACTGATGTCACACTTTTGCCACTTTCAACTATAGGGCATGTACATCCTCTGGTGAAGACAAGGCAGCAGCTAAGCTTTTCCCCCACCCTGAACTCTTCATTCCTCAGCATCTTCCTAGAGAAGTTTGTTCCTTTCCTGAGAACATCCCCGTGAAGTAGCAGCCATTAGATGTTTTAGCAAACATACAGTTTATAAACAGAGAGAACTGGATTTAAATGGTTCAATAATCTACTTTCACAATAAAAACAGGTTATTCTCAGTATACCAGTAGAAGACATTCGAGACGCATACCTGAAATCAAATCCTTCACTAAACACACACGTGCTCCTCCACAACATATTGCAAAGAAGAAGGATACATCATGATTCTTTCCTACTAAAGCTCCATAAAAATACCAGTTCAAGGGAACTGCTGCAGATTCCAAAGCAGCTTTCTCCAATTAAAATTTCTAATTCCACCATGTTAGCACACGCAGAACTTTTAAATGCACATCTGCAAGGACCTTTGAGATTGTCTTCAACAGACACCTGTCCAACCATTTTACTTCAACAAAAGAAACTGCACAATCTTTGCGGACAGACAGCTTCAGTGCTTCCTCAATTTAAATGCCAAATGTTTTTCTTTACCATCCAACCCAAGTAATACCTTCTAAAAACCAAGCACTATTTCTTCTTCTGCTCTACATTGAGCCTTAAGGCTACATAATCACTAGCTTTTACACAGTAACCCTTTTGCAGATGTGAGGGCCTTCATCAAATTTGCTCCTAGCTTCTTTTCTAGTGTGCCTATGCCTCAAGTCTCCCTCACAAACTAAGTGTTGTTAACTCCTGTGGAGTCTAGGGATCTACATACTACGGTTAACAAAAATTAGCCATACTAAGGCTCAGCAAGACAGAGTAATCACTTTCTTTTCTATTCATATTTAATCTCATCTGCTAACATGCCAAAATAACATATGTCTGATTGCAAGGACATCATACTGTTTAATATTTCATTTACCATACATTACAGTGCTAAAATACTTTTTCAGGATACTACTTGCTGTTCAGTACTACCCTTTCCACTAATTATGTCTTTTATTTCTCCTTCCTGTGTTCTCTTCCTCCCACAGTTCTTGTTAACTGAGTTTAATTACATTGATTTCAAATCTGCTGTCAATCTTCACAATCATTTTGAATTCTGACCCTGAGCTGTACAGTGCTCTCAATCCTTCCAACTACCCAGCGTATCTCTTCCATGCTAACCATTAGAGAAAAAAAAAATGAATGCACATCCATAACAGAACTTGACAGGAGGACACTTCCTGGCATCCTTGTTTAAAGTGAATTATTTACAAGTCAGCTTCAAAAAGCAATTTTTCAACCAGCTGTACAAAATCTCACAAAAATTGTTTTAGATCCCATTTTAGTAGTCTGTTTTTAACATAAGCCCAGACAATGGCAGAAACCCTGCAAAAAATCAAGACAAACCCCTTGTATTCCTTCCTCATTAACTGCATTGGCTACTGGAAAAAAATAGATTGATCCAGAGCACTCTTAACAAATCAAACTAGCCCATTTTCTGTTTGCACATGAACTTTAATTGTTTTCTACTTACTGACAAGTTCTCCCCTAAACCACCTGCACAGAATCCTTGAGGGGATCAAAGCTTGGTAAGCTTTGCCCCTTTTTTTTTTCTGAAATTATTATTCCGATTGCATTCCCATCATGATAATTTCATTCAGTTTTAGCAAGTATCTGTCTACAACTTCTCCATCAAACCCAAACAAAGGCTACACTGACTACTCCAGCACTTTTGCAACATCCATGATTTATAAGACTGTTTTTCTTGTTCTTCTTTTGAATGGAAGAGGATTTCATACCTTAGATTTCCCTACGATTTTCATACTTGCTCTACTCATTTTACCTCACAAGCTCTTTCGCCTGCTCTCATTTCCTTTGAATGCACCTTTGTTGGTGTAAGACCTTTAAAGATCTCAAGATAAATACAGAAACTACTATCTTACTATGCTTCCTATTTTTACATTCAGATTGAAGATTAAACAATAACACTGAACATGCAAATTACTACCATTAATATTTAATAATGGCTGCAAGCATTCAGCAACAATGTATTTCAATAACTACCTCACCTGTACATTTGATCTCCCAGATAATTCTCAATACAGTTTCAAACACCTATTACTTTTACTCTGCTCTGCCTTCAGCATACTGCTTTAAGCCTATTAATAAAAAATACTTGTCTTCCATCATCACAAAACAAATATATTTAAAAAATAAGGTTATTAAACTGCACAAGGCAATTACATTAGCAACTTTTATACCTATATTCCTAATCAACTGAAATTAAAAATGTGGCTTTGCACAAGCTTAGACTTCCAAAGGTATCCAGTTGCTCCGTGAAGGATACAAGCACTTCTTTGCAAGTGCCTATATCAAGTTTTTAAAACTAGACAGCGAACAGAGGACGAAGTCCGTTTGACAATTCAAGCTGCTTTCACTCAGCCCTCCACTCACGACTTCTTCACAGGACTCTGAATTCCGATTTTAGGCATAATTACTTTTACAACACTGTATTATGGCCCTACAGAACACTTCAATATTGGAAATAACCGAGTAACCCTACTCAAGAAACACATCGGCTGTGCTCAGTCACCAGATCACGCTCCCCCTCCCAGCTGGGGACTCACCTCAAACGCACAACCATTCGCTGAGGGAGGAACCCGGCGGCGGCACCGGTTAAGCAGCCCCAGCCCCATGCCGGGGTCGGAAGGCGTTCCAGAGGCTGGGCGAAAGCACCGCACCAGCCTTCTGCCCAGGCACAGCTCCTACGGCTGGCGTGACATCAGGGGGCGAGACACGGGACAAACCACCCCCTCAGCCCCCCGTGTCGGTACGGAGTAGCATGCCCACCTGATCCTCTCAGCCGCTGTAGCGGGCGAAGAGGCGGAGAGGGGCCAGCGGGTCCGCCGCCGCCAC